ATAGATAGATAGATAGATAGATAGATAGATAGATAGATAGATAGATAGATAGATAGATAGATAGATAGATAGATAGATGTGTACGTGTTTCTATTTAAGCGTATGCCTGACTGAAATTGACGAGATATTGCTTCGCTACGCTGTTTATAGATTTCTCACTGCAATGCCAAGCTTCACTAACCACGTGACATTCAACGAAGATCCAGCAGCGTAGAGAAATCAACACCAATCAGCAAAGTCGCCTATTTAATGAAGAGCTTATTTGCAAAACTGCTTATGTCCATTTTTTTCACAAATTAGTTTAAATCACCAATGTATAGTATGTGAACATAGGTACCGTGTAGAGTACTTTTTTATTGAAAAACAGCCTATACATCATGCTTAACAGACCCATCATAAAATCATGTTTAGCTTACATCCAAAAAACCTTTAGTTGCAAAATAGCCTATATATCTATCAGCGCATTTTAACCAATGCTGATGCGTAGCTGCGCACGAGCGTCTACACATGTACAAATATTCATGTATAATATAAAAGCACTGAATTGAGCGCTTACACGTAAACCAATTCGAGCTGGCATGTGAAATGCCAAAAACCATAACAGATTGCTTCTGTTAACCAAATCGATATAGCATTTCTAGTTGAGCTTTTCTGGATTTTGCTTTCATGCTCGGAATACGCCGATAATTATCCCTCTGCATATATTGTTTGACGTTGAAACTTGCTTTAGTGCCTTTTATGCTAAACATCACAATGATAATTATAATGCACAACACAATTAATGTTATTATAAGATTGTAAAATTTTAATAGCTCCACAATATTTCAATAGGACACTTTTAATAAACTATCATGTATGAATATTTTTGGTGTTCCAATTATCAAAGCAGAATTACTGTTCAATTCAATAGTCACAACTTGTTATCTACACACCTAGTGTTATCTACAAATACTTTATCTTGCGTGCATTGTATTTAAACCGTAAAATATTAATTTCTTCTTAATTGTTACCTCAGCGTAGCTGACTATGCCTAGATATATATATATATATATTGATAATGTAACAAGGCACAATGTGATAGTAATGTTAAAGGTAAATAAAAGCATATCGTACATTATATTATCAGCTTATGAGAGTACAGATTAGTTCTACACTGTTCTATGAGATTCTACATCAAAGCCCATTTGTGCGCGCGCGCGTGCGTGCGTGCGTGCGTGCGTATATATATATACATGTATTTATATATGTATGTATATATATATGCGTTGCACATAACTCGAAAACATCCTGCGGTGCAAGTGAAGTTGGGAATAATGCAGTTTTAATAATTATGAGTTAAAATTAAATATGCCTTAAAGCGAGAATTTCTCATGTTTTTACCAACCGTTTTCATATTTCCTCACCCGTTCTGATACTTGCCGGTACTCTTTGCATAACACAAAATGTATATGTAGAAGGCTAACATGTCATAGAACACTCGCACAACATTCTTTCCATCGTTCAGCAACATTCTGTGCACCGATCTGCATTTCAAATAGACCATTTACCTATGTCAACAAACATAGCGCGCAATTTGTGCTCTAATTCTCTATGAATACATTTCGAGATATAGGTACCAGTATAAATATTTAGCGTCACGTAACTACGTGCGCTCGTTTTGTGAGACCGTTTGAACATTCCATTATATCGCGAATCTGAAGATGGTGGGCGCACATTTGCAAGTCATGATTTACTGTGTTATACGTAGCCTATAACAGCAGGAGCTCCTAATAATTTTTATGCTGAAGTAATCAGTACACCGACAGGTTAGTCTAAATTTCTCTTCATTTATTTATTTTTTGATTTACTTGTAAGATGATCGTTTTAAATGAAACATTAATTAGCTGTAACTTTACGTGACCGTTCAATGTGCACTCTACCTTGAGTTATACGCTTTTATTTTCTGCATTAAATTCAAGTATAAAAACACTCCAAATCTATTTACTAACTTAATCCCGTCCATATATGTACGGTATCATAAATAATGCATATGCGTCAAATAATTGTTTAACGATATTTCTTTTACAAATTTTAATTAGGTTTATTTGAGCTGTCGACCCCTGGCCTCTTTTCCTGTCCAGATGTTGCGGTGTTCATTGCAACATTATTTTCTCTGTGTTAAAGAATTGCTCTAAAACATGGCTTGTCATTAAACACGTTAAATCAAGTGGTTAATGTATTATATATTTACTTTCACAATAAAGCTATCATGGCTTTTCCAAAACCGATTTTTTAATATTAGCTGCTTAGCTCATACGCTAACTCAATGCGTAACTACGCCCGCCATATTGATTCGTCTTTTCGTTCGCATGCACTCGCAGCGATCGTAAACATGGCGGCCTCCACGTCCAGTTCCACGAAATATAAGCGGGGAGATAAGCCAGCCAATATCGCAGAAACGATGTCTAGTCGAGAAGGAAAAAAGACGCTACCAAAACCGCTTGGTCTCCGCGGCTTTCTGGTCGTCATTGTTCTGTTTTTCTGCAAAAAGGTTCTCTTCGTGAAACCGGAAATAAAAGTATGTGTCTACTTGGTCGTCTGCCTGCTCGGCTCTGTTATCGGTGACATATTCGTCGTACCACGGACGTACTTCTCGCGCAAGGATAACGTCTTCAATGTTTACTTCGTCAAGCTCTGCTGGGGCTGGACCGGTGCACTGCTCGCTGCTTTCATCGCCATGACCAGCTACGTGTACACCTGCGGAAACCGACAGCTTGTCTTTCTGCACCTGTCGCGCCTCGTCGTCGCCACCGTCGTCTGGTACGTCTGCACCTCGAGCTTCGTCACGATAAACACGCTGACGGGCTTCTGCATAACCGCGAGCGTCGCCGTGGATACGGCGGACGCGTGCCGCACGGCGGGCCACGCTTGGCTGGGTTTCGACATTTCGGGTCACGTGTTCATGATGGCGTACTGCGCGCTGCTGCTAGCCGAAGAGTCGCGCGCGTTCGCGCACTGGGACCGCGTCGGCACGATGCTGCTGCGCGGCGACAACGACGTCGACGAACGGTTGGGCCACCTGACGGGCAGCGAGCTCGCGCGGCTTCGCGAGGCGCACCCACGCCTCACTCCCTACATCAAGGCGAGCTTCCTCACGATGGCACTGCTCTGCCTTCTCTGGGACACAATGCTGCTCGCCACCACGCTTTATTTCCACTCCGTCGCGCAAAAGATGGCCGCCCTCGCTGCGGCGATAATCTGCTGGTTCGTCACCTACCGGCTGTGGTACAAGATCGACGTTTCACCCGGGTTACCCGGCCAGGGGGCGTTCCGCTACGTGCCGGATCAAAGTTTACCGAGCCGCCGCCAGAGGCTGTGACTTCACTATAGCAGCCATAAAAAAAAGACGAAGTGGAGCCGTCATTGGGGAGTGCACCTCGGTTGCTAACTCTAGTGTCTGTGGGGGTGGCCACGCCTCCATACATGTACTTTTCCATCAGTGTGTCTTCTATATATATGTGCGTACAACATACCCGTATGTGTATGTACGTGTATGTACCTTCAGATGTCCCAAGGATAAAGAATTGCACACGTGCGCTATACATACTGTACTATATATAGGCATTGCTTACGATAAAGAGAATGACAGTCTGCTATTGGGTACTTGGCTGTAGATGCAGAGTCATGTTACATTAGTAATGAGTTCTGAGAAAAGTGTAATTCTCGTTTGCATGACTGTGGTGGACTGCGGTGGATTGTTTTGATAGTTTGATAGTTGGAAAGTTTGATAGTTTGAAATAAACTAGTTTTGATATCTGCAGGAGGAGAGTTATAAGCATTTGACATTTGAAGATTGTTAGCGACTGAAAGACGTGGTGTTAAAATGTATAAAGTGAGAGAGAGCGAGAGAGAGAGAGAGAGAGAGAGAGAGAGAGAGAGAGAGAGAGAGAGAGAGAGAGAGAG